GGGATTAAATCCGTGACCATCTTAAAGCAAGGTAGTGTGCTAAACCGCCACACCAAAGTGGTCAAACTGGTAGATTTTCGCGGATGACCGCAGTGTGGGTTATAATGTATCTCGTTATGATTAAACGGATAATTTTGGTTAGTATCCGTGAAGTATGGTCTGTATTAGATGCCATTATACTGTTCACGGATAACACATTTGATAATGCCCGCCTACGTAAACACTGACTACTATTTATGATCAGGCAATAAGCGACGAGATACCCAGGAAACATGTATAACGAGCAATAGTTTTGATATGAAAAATGTTTGAATTACAACACAATATTATATTCTAAATTATTTCGCCTTTCCCTATAGTTATGGAAATTATATCTTATACTCATGTATGAATTATGAGGGACAATTAGATTTGCTATTGTACTATTAATTTTGCAGGAAATGTTTGTTTTATATTCAATTTAATTTTATCACAAATATTTTATTTTGACTTTATGTCAGAATAATAATGTGCAATTCTAACGCTAAGAATATTTAAAATTGTGTCCTACAATATATAACTTTTAAGTAGATAATAGGTACATAGATTATAACACTTTCTAAATTATAATGAATTTATATTAAATTCTAAATTGAAAATAAAAATATTTATATAAATTCAGGAAAGATATAAAGTCCCTTTTTTTAATTTGTCTAATCAACAATTCTAAATTCATAACATAATAGCGTTATTTACTACGAATTTGGTACTTAGAACATTTTTGTAGTTAGTAATAATTACTAATTGTAATAGTTATAGTTTGAAAATTTTAATATAAATAAGATTAAAGCCACTGAAGTTGCACCAGTTACCTACTAAACGTAACAAGTTTAGTTTACCGGTTCACCTATAACTGTTAATGGATAACTTTGTACAAAAACCATGAGTCCATGATCACGTTTGGCGAGTCGGTAAATCACAAGATAGCGTGGAGAAAGCTAAAACATTATAAAATATATTGATGGTGTTACCACAATTTTCGATTTCAATGGAATTAACTCCTTTTTGTCGACTATATTTTTTTAATCTATCACAATAATATTTGTTTAAATCTGTAGAGTTAAGTTTGAGAAATTCCAAGTCATTGTTCTTTATTTTTAAAATCTCTAACTACTCGTAAAAGTTAGATTTGACGAAAATTGGATAATTTTATATTTGCTCCTTTAAAAATCGAGTAGAACACAATGTACATTATGTTTTTTTCAATGTTTCATTACAACTAATTCTTTCTATTGTTAATATTATTGTTATTTTTATTTACAACTATTAAATTGTTTTGTCAACTATTTGAACTGTATTCTTTCAGTTGAATTATGACCGGCTCAACTTGGCTCTCGAGATAGATCCAACAAATTAGAACGACTGGAACATTATCCTATTACTATTGGAAATTATTACTATTTGGTATGGTCGTGGAAGATTAAACGCAAAGTGCGTTACATCATTTCTTTGCATTTGTAACATTCTTTACGAGTAGCATATTTTTCTTCTCCACGCTGGTATCCGCTGTCCCGCTTAGACTATCTTGTTTTTTGCTTGTCGTTTGAGCGCATGTATTTTTAATTCATGTTCTTTATTTTCTCCATTACTAATCGAGTTATCCAGTCCCTCCTTTCTACGTAGTTTGTCCGCAACACTTATAGATAAATTAATTTTATATCTGTTGTGAGTCGTGTTCACTGAGTGCCTCCGGGCGGTGGCGGCGTGAGAACGACTATAACACCGCTCGTGCGTCTGCGCCTAATACCTGCCGCGAATTAGTAACAAGGCACGGAACATCCTTCATTGTTGTCGTCACATGTCATGTTGGTTTCCATCCAGTTAATCTTTAACGTGGTCATCACGTCAAAGATATGATTTTATAGAAATACAATGGAACAGAGTGCAAATTCATGCTTATTCACATCACATATCACAAATATTTATCTAACAATGAGTAGCAGAAACTACTAAGTTTAGAAACATGCAATTTGCACTGTATCTTTGTAAAGAGGAAGTCAAAATTTATACGCTAGGTATTTTAAACAAATATCTGTATGGGCACCTCAGTCTCACCATTTAGGGCGCCAAATTGCTTGTTTTGTGAGCTATTAAGATTAGGCAATGAAATTACAGGTTAAGTGGTGTGACATCTTAGAACTCATGGGCATCACATGATAACGTTGTGTGGTGTGGTTCAGGTGCTGTTCACGTTTATAGGTGACTGATACTACTTACCATCAGGTTAGTCATCAGCTTGTTTGGTACTCCAAATAAGAACAATCGGTTGACAACATATAGGTGGTATTATTTTAATAAATTTGTAGCAAATCATAACAAGATATCATATTTAAAAAAAAACTTACTTTCTTGTAACAGAACCTTATATCTAAATTCTCCAATTAGATGCCTCTTTTCCGTGTTTCACATGTCAATTGTGCAACAGTCACGCTCTATTGGAGCATGAGCATTCCTTTTGTTTCTGATCAATCTCCGGAACACATTTGCCAATGATAGAATTGCAAGTCTTTGTTGCAACGCGAATTTAAAATTTATGGTATAGATAGGTACCATTTGTCTTTTGTGTAAACTTTAAAGAGAAAGTGGTACGTACCTATTCGGAAATGGTATTCTTATCTGATTAATCAATTTCATATTTAAATATCATACTGACCGCTGGAAATTTTGAAATTTCTTTTACTTTTGAACTAGCTGACCCATGCAACTTCGACTGCAACAGATATCCTCCGTTTTTGCTACATTTTGCACTGCAGCTCCACTGCAATTGGTTGTACCGATAATTGTGCTAGCAAGTACTAAACTAATTTTTTAAAATCGGTTCAGTAAATACAAAGATTACGCTCCACCACTCAAAATTTACTCTTTATCATATTTGTATAGATTCTCAATTTTAGAAGATTTATCTTTATACGTTTGTTTATTTCATATGTAAAAAATTGTAATATTGAGATATAGTTAATACCAAAAAAATAACAATATAGGTCCTATATGATAATACTAGCAGTGCCCGCGATTTCACCCGCGTTAAATTTCAATATAAAATATAGCCTATGTATTATTCTGATGCATAAGCTGTACTGTAAAGTTTCATCCAAATCCGTTCAGTAATTTTTGAGTGAAAAAGTAACAAACATCTATACATACAAACATTCGCATTTATAGTATTATTAAGATTTTGCCTCTTTAATGTTTCTCCAAAATACTTTAAAGGAAATATGGTATTGACTAAAACCCTGACTGTAAAGAGACGGCCGAAGACTAGATTAGATCGCACTGGGCAAATAAAGGTAATACTTACGTTAATAAGATGATAGCCACTAGTGGAATATAAAAAGTCTTCAAATTATATATAAATTAATAAAATTTAATCGTAATAATTTGACTTACCAATTACTGTTAATTACTTACCAATTATACTGTAAATTCAATCAGTGATTAGATTTTTAATTTATATTATTAAATTCATCACTAACAAATAATTTAATATAACTACTATAGGTAGAGTGCAATATTGTCAGATGCTTTGCACAAATTCATTAGAGTACTTACTATCTCATAAGGTAAAAAACACATGTAAATATTTTGCATGTATTCCACTCGGTAAACCTAATAAACTTGTACCTCAACAATTTTATTTTGTTTCTGTTTGCTTAAACTTTTCTTTGCATGACAAAGAATTTAAATATTCAGACTTGGCTATTTTTTGTTGTTCCACTTGCAGCAAGCAAACATGCTGACTGTCCACCATTCTTCTATTTATTATACCCCGAATTTATTTAATGTATAATTTTTTTTAGACGATAATGGAATGGTATACCTACCTTAAAATTTTATTTATCAATGATAGATAAATAGGATATAATATCTAGTATGTAGCTTGTATTTGCCAGTTGTCAAGATATTTTAATCCAAATTCCAAAAAATATTTGTAAACTTATTATTCAATGTTGCCTAATATATAGATATTAAACTACTACTGAAATTCTTTTAAATAAAATTTTATGTATCTAAATAAATAAAACTCTTTAAGACACATATATTAAGCAGTTTTAGATTTAAATAATACTTATCTGTTTATATTTAGGTCTATGGCAAGCAAACATGAAAAGCGACACTGGCTTGCTTTGGTATTTATTTGGTTAATGTCCACTTTTGTCTCAAAGCTTGTTTCTCGGATGTTCGCTTTATGGGCGTTGGTCATCGCAATGCCACTTATAATTTTAATGTCCCAACCCATCATTCAAACATAAAACTTCATCCCAAAAAGATATATAAAGCTTATAAGTTTTATAGTCTCAGACTTATGATAAGTCTGCTGGAATTAAGTAGACTCATTAAAACTTGACTCTTGACTTTACTTTTAAGAATCACAAAAAAATGATATTTAGTTTCTTTTTTACTTTAAATGAATCAATTACTAAATAAATAATGTGACTTAGAAAATATTAACTGTGCAGCGACGTTACGTTCTTCTAAGGTTGACACTGTAGTTACTACTATTTGAATTAACGGTTATTTGCTAATTATATTTAACTGGAAATTTCGTTACATGCTATATGTACACTTAAATTGATATGTAATTACAGTAAAATATTATAATAAATAAAATTATTATATATTGTGCCTTAATATAAAACCTACCCTTATGTATATCTACATAAAACTAAACATATCTACAGAAACGTGACCTACTGACAAAACGATACCAATGATTGTTCGACATATATTATTGTTTTCCCATCGAGTCCATTCCATTCAGAATCTCATTACACTTCAAAAGGGGTACAACAGATCTGGCGCAACGTTATTCTCATGGACGTGTCTGTCGTTAGGGCAGCGTGAGGTGACCATTACAGCGTACAAAGAGTTGCCTAAAATAGAGAGCTTTTGTGAGGCGGGAAGGCTGAGGGACGAGGGGGCGGGGCGGTCACCGGTTCGCCGCCGGCTCAGTCGCGCCGAGCTGCACAACCGCCTCGCACGCCGCTAGAACGCGTGCCTCTCAGAAGGCGCACGCGCACGCGTTACCCCCGCCGCTCCCCTCAATAACACGTGCTCCAAGTTATCACTCGTCAATGATATTATTCACCTTCTTTGAAGTCCATAATGCAAGAACAAAGTTCGTCTCGCTCTAGCAAAACTACATTAAATTCACTGGAGAGCGCTATCATTAAGCTGAAGAATAACCTGCAAATTCAAGATAGCAAGACGACGGATATGAACACCTTACTATCAGCTGACCCGCCATCGCCACATTTGGATATAAAACCAAACGCAAGTAAGAGTCCTACTTCATCTTCATCTACAAATTTAAACTTGTCAGTAGCTTCTGCTGCACTGTTACAAGAAAACATGTTACAGAGATCTTTGCAAGGCGTAGTTATATCACTCCAAAATGCAATGATGAATTCGTTACAGCAAGCAGCACTATTGCCGTCAAATTCAGCAGCAGCAGCAGCATTAAATTTACAAGCATTAGAATCCTATTTGACCTTACAACGCTTAACTTCAGTATCCTCTGTAAATAGTTCTAATCCAAACACTTCAGAAAATAGTTCTACTTCAAAGCAAGATATATTAAGGATAGCTACTGCGAGTGCAAAGATTAATGAAGTAGATACATCAGAAAATACTTCAAGAGATTTTTCTCCAAAAACTCCTGAAGAATATCCCCTCTCGGATGCAATTGCTGCTGAAGATGTGGATTTATCAGAAGAAGTTGAGGAGGACCTTGCATTATTAGACAATGAAGAGGACTTTACTTTAGAACAACATTTAGAATCCACCTCAAAAGGCTATGGTTATAATTCACAAAACTTAGATAATGGGTACCCTAGTTTGTTGATGAATGCAATGTATCAACAGCAACTGAATGGGAGCCCATCACAGGCGCCCTTGTCGCCTCAAGCCTCAAATTCATCAAAGTCTACAAATAGTTCAACATCATCTACAGGAAGTAGTATATCAAATAAACAGAAAACTACTGGAAGTGGGCCAAGGACGAAAAAGCAGTTTATATGCAAATTCTGCAATCGACAGTTTACAAAATCCTACAATTTGCTTATACACGAAAGAACCCATACAGATGAAAGACCGTATTCTTGCGACATATGTGGCAAAGCTTTCCGACGGCAAGATCATCTGAGAGACCACAGGTATCTAAATAAACATTTATATTCACACATACATAATTTCTTATTTAACTTCATTTTATTTCCTATACAGTCAATGTGAAGGTGATAATGATCATTAGTAAGTTATTTATTTGTGTGACTGCATCATCATAAAATTATTCAATTTGTCTGCTTTTTTATAGTTTTAATGCAATACCTACATTATTTGGGTACAGGTATCAAATGTTAACGGAGACAAAAAACATACATGTGAATAGATGCATTAATACAATTTATTTAATAATGGCAAACAAGTAGTTTTAAAGTGTCTCAATTATAAATATGCATAATCAATCAATTGACTATAATTACTGGTAAAATAACCTTGTTTTATAATAGTAGGTATGTATATTATTTGTATCAATCTTTATTTTCATAAAATGAACTAGGTACAAAACGTCAAATACTGCTTTTAGTTTTATTCCATAATTGAATTAGTATTAATTATTATTAATTAATATTTCCACACTACATTTATCACATGTATCACTAGTTAATACCTACATTCATACACACAATTTCGAATAAAATATTGTTATAATTTTGTTAATAAACTATAACTGTCTGGAATTTTAATTCACTTAAAATTATCTTCACAATTCAGTTGATAAATCTCTTGTATATAATATCTATCTAATATTGTTTTCTTACAACGATGATCCGGATCGAATGACCTGACACTAATTTATAAGATAAAACCACGTCATGATACATTTGAAAGAACCTCGATTCTTATATTTCGATATCAATAAAATATTTTAGTCGTTGGGTTTCAACGCAAAACGTTATGAACATCTTTTGAATAATGGCGGTGAAGGAAAAATATATTTTAAAACAAAAAGGTTAAGTATGGACCTGGCAGATGGTATCGACAAGTCGTTCGTCACGCTCGTAAATTATTCCACAAAACCGCCGCTAATGCGAGAGCAGACGATGTTTTAATTTTGACTTTTCATTTTGTTTTCTCGACATTCCGTATAAAATATCTCTGCATTTTTTTATTGCGAATATTTTTTCTTCAACACTAGAAATAAAAAGTCATGTCATCAATGTAATCAACGCATTACAAAATCTGCTGTTTACAATAGATGTGATAATATATTACTAACATAAGGACAAATCATAATCTATTTTACTCCGAGCTACACAACCAAAAAGGTGTTGAATTTTTAACACCTGTCTGTCAGCGATTTCCTCTCAAATCACCGTATCTCTTCGGCAATAAAATAAATTTCGTGTAGGCGCTGGAGGCAACCCGACCCCGGCCTGTCGATGTTCAATCGATGTCCGTTGACACGATACATTATAATGGACTGAAGCGGCCGCTTCGACGGGTTTAACAAAGCACGTGGTGATCCTGACGTGAGGATTAATATGGACAACAAAAAAGACATAAACCATCGCACGTACAAGTATTAATGTTAGAGCTTTTGGTATTTTTTTTCCTTTACATTATATAATTAAAAGGTTGTAATTAGCAAATTTATGGTAGAGCCATGCACCGACAATAATTATCTGCCTATAATTTATGAACGTAACACAACAACTAATCGATACCATCCTGTTAGATTTACACTAACTACTCATTAATAATATTAAATTATGTATACACGTACATAATTGTACTTATTTTTATATTACGGTTATTTGTAACCGATAATGATACTATTGGTTAAAATTTTAATTGCTCAAATAAGTGCTCGTTTCTGCTATAGTTAGGCCTAACGCTGGGTCCGCGTCGGTGTCACGATACGCTCCGATACACACGCGCACAGGATTATCCTAATCGCCGTCATCATCTCGTGTTTTAATATTGAAGTTATTCTTTCATTCATCATCTTGTAACTTTTTATCGTCACTGATCTAACTTATATAGCCGATTATTACAGGTATTACGTTTCTTTGAACACGTCGTAATTTTCTCTCAAAGTGTGTTTGTTTATACGATACTTATAGAGATAATTTCTTGGAGTCGAATATTCGATTGTCAGGTTTCTGGTTATGCGTTATTATAAATTACACGTTATGCCGTGATAATTGTATGTTGTTACGTCTAAATTTAATTTGGTAGTTGTTTCATGGATGTTGTTTATGATATATTTAGAATTCTTTTTAACGTGAATACATATTTTATCATTTTACTTAAAACAAATCTTGTAAGGTATTAAAACGTTTATATTAGATGTAATACCTTTGCCTATCTGTGTGTAACAGTTAGGTTTATGAGTAATACTTATAAACAAGCTAATAGATATGTTAATAAAATATATTCAAGACACACTGGTACCCATATATCCAACATATAAAAAACATTTATAATAGTCTACAAAATAAATGATACAATAAGTAACATAACCAGTTTTCAAACTACAAGTGAAACTGTATCCGTAACAACTTAAACATGTCCAATGACGATGGACACATTGGTTCAAATAACCAAATAGTTAACTTGTTTTAAACTATTACCTCTATAATATAATTTGAAATAATGTTTGCCTACTTTACAGGCATGATTCCATTATTCTATTATATCTCACATATTCATGCAAAAATCTATGTGTAAACGTTCCTTATAAGCAAGTTTGTCTGAATATTCGTTATTATTAATAAAAACAAGAAATGTAGTCAATTTATTACCAATATCCCGCGGGCTCTTGTTTGCTTCCACACAAGGTGTTCATAACATGCTGCACATGGTACAACATGATCAGTGCCTGAAGACATTGATTATTGCACCTCTCGGGAAAATCTGCATCCAATTGATACATTAAACAAAACACTGTTGTGTTAATTGGGCTAAATAATAATAACTATCTAGAATATACGAGTATGTTACAGCTTTAAAATATAGTCAAATCAACTTTAGAGAGAACAATTTTACTACAAATAACTGTTCATAGGAAATTAGAAGTTTTCTTTTATTACTTAGATTTTCACTTTTAACTTTTAATCTAATATGTTTCGAAAAATACCATGTACTCAGTATGATGTTTACCACAATGTTTGCAGATGAGTACTTAGTATCTTATCTAGAATTACAATTGCAAAGATAAGCATATTAAGTAATGTAATTAATTATAAAAAGTTTTATAATACTCAAAAAATAAACATTGTTAAGACAACTAAAATGACAAATAATCTGATTTTAATAGCACGTCCTTTTACAGATACATACACTCCAAGGAGAAGCCATTCAAGTGTTTGGAATGCGGTAAAGGATTTTGTCAGTCCAGAACATTAGCTGTTCATAAAATTTTACATATGGAAGAGTCGCCACACAAGTGTCCGGTTTGCAGTAGAAGTTTCAATCAAAGATCAAATCTCAAAACCCACCTCTTAACGCATACGGATATAAAACCATACAATTGTTCTTCTTGTGGGAAGGTATTTAGAAGGAATTGTGACTTGAGACGCCATAGTTTGACGCACAATCTCGTTGGCATGTCTTCAGTAAACACATCGCCAAGTAGAAGCAGTGGCAAGAGTCCGTTACTTAATCCAAACTTTCCCATTGATAGTTTAGATACAGAAGACGAGAATTAGTGAATAGTGATTGAATATGAACAAGGTGATTTAGTGGCGAATGTTTTTAAAAGACTGATTATGCGCCTATAAAAATGATGCCTTATAGATTTAAGAGAGAGCAACGAAGTATAAGTCACCCGACACTATTTTTTACTACATTTTTACTACCAATGTTTTAAAATATTTAAAGTGTCATTAAAAATGTTAGATGCCAAAATATCATGACATTAAAGTTATCTTCTTCATAATGATACGCCCACATGTTTTTGATTAATGATAATTGTCTATTCCACTTATTATAATAAATTGAGACCCAAGCTTTCTTTAAAAATCCCGTCGGAAATAAGACAGATCTGTTAAGTACAGATCTGTCTTATTTACTTAAAAACAGATTATTTTAATACAATTCTACAATTTTGAAATTATTACATATTGTATACTTGTATATTGTTTCGTTACATTGATTCACTACTTTACTTGTGATAGTACATTATGTTGATGTTTTTTAAATATTTTTAAATAAGATTCATAAAGTCTTTGGGTTCTAGTATTATTATTTAAGCTAAAGTATTTTTGAAATCTTGTAAATTTTCTGATCTCATATTTTTGTATGTAAATATAGATTAAACTTAAGTCAAATTGTGCATTCCGTCCATATATTTTAATGTTTGACATATTATAATACCTTTAAATAAATAAATATTGTTTGAAGTTTAAATATATGATGTAAATATAATAAAAATTCAAATGTCTTCCTATGACTGATTGATAGGTACAGAAATGTATTAGAAATTTTTACAATCATATTGTTTAGAAAATAATAATTGTAATATAATTAAAATGCAATTGAAACATACATTTTGTACTTTATTTAATAGCTTATTAATTAGTTATTAATACAAATAATTGAGGAAAAACTGACAAAGAATAAAGAAATTATGTAATTATTTCTTAGTTGCCAGCTGTTTCTGTGATTTCTAGACTACTACTACTACTAGAAATGGTTATAAGAAGTTTAAAAAATAGTAGTAGAAGTAATACAATCTTTAAATTCAACAGATTAAATAAAATGAAAATTAAGATCTATCAAAGTTTATAAATATCAAAACTAATTTTTATTATTACAGCTTTCTTGAAGAAGTGAGTGTTAATTAAATATAAACCCTGGTATTTTAAAGTATCCGAACGGACACTGTACTAATAGATAAGAGAAATCATAGAAGCAACTTACACATTTAGTTTAATGGTCAAATAAAGAAATTATTATTCTATGACCAGTCCGGAAACAATTTCAATGAAGAGCAAGATAATCAACTGTTATTTTTAATATTAACTTGATATTATTTCTATTATATATTATTATTATTATATTATTTCCTTTACAACTTTGGATAATATGTTTTAGGCAAGTTTTCTAGTGGGTAAATTTTAAATATGACTTTAAAGCACAACACAATTTTCGTTACTCCATTTATTTCTTAGAGGCAGACAAGCGTATAACTCATCTAATGAAAATAGCGTCGCCACCTGCAACAATAGAGATATTTGTTACAGCTTGTTGCCTGCCTAGGGTCGTATACTTCCTGTTGATTATCTTGATACCAGCTGTTCTCGTGAAGGTCCCAATGCTATATCGGTTTCTATTCTATTATAGAATAGTAAAATGTATCACGACATAGATATTAGATAATAGATAATAATTTAGGACGACAATTCACACAGCGCCATCTAGACCCAAGTTAAGCAGAGCTTATGAGTAGTAGACTACTGATATAAAAACCTATACATATTTTTTTTATACACATACATAGAAAACACCCAGACCGATACAAACAATCATACTCATGAACACAAATCTTTGCACCGTGCGAGGAATCGAACCTGCAACCAGCGGAAGGAAAGCGGTGTGCTAAACCGCTATATCACCGAGGCCGTTGTAGGTATAATTACTATAGAGTAAAAAAATATTAAATACAACTTTTTTTCATGTAAAACGAGCTCAGTAGATTGCGTTACTTTTGCTAATAATTTGTCATCGGATTCGCTTTAAATCTTATTATAACACCTAATATATTTGGCCTTTAGTTCTAAATGTTATAATAAAAAAAAAACAAATATTAACAATAATACAATACATACCTAGGTACTTATATAAAAATAAATACCTGTTTCTCTTGGTCACGCCATAACTTGAGAGAATCCTTTTTACTATAAGAATTTTTTAAAAAGTTTTTATGACTATTTAAATTTTGCGCGTTTGATAGTTCGGCAGTTTGATAGCTAATTTGAGAGATAGCCATAAACAATGCTGTTTTAGTATAACGTCACAGTGCATTGTCTTGTATGTATTTATCTACCCTACTACTAAGTATTAAGATGTTGTGTAGATATATTAGTATTAAATTATTTAAAATGAGAATCAACATTATAACACTCCTCGGTTATCTATTACATTTTTAATAATTTTGCTACGTACAACTGCATGATGGAATCACCTTCCAGCAATGGTATTTCCGAACTGATACGATATTGAAACCTTCAAGAAAAATGCTTATTTCTGCTTAATAGCCGCTAACGCAATTGCAATTCCTCTTGTGTTACGGGTGCTCATGGGCAGCGGTAATTACTTACCATCAGGTAACCCGCAAGTTTGTCTCCTGTGCTATATTCTTTTCGATGCAACGCACGTAGTACAAGATAAAAGTATATATGGCAGACATATGTTGGCGGTGCAAATGTTGATAATAATATTATTAATACATACACGAATAAATAAACATACACAGTTGGTAGGTATAGCAATAAGCGCCTGATCTTTATTAACCTTAATTTCGCTGAAAATTATCAAAGTGGTTTTAAAAGAACGTTGAATGGAGATCATCTTCATACGGTTCATTAACATAGATGTATACCTATACCTTCTCCGTCAAAGATATGAGGAGATACTTTACTTATATTAGAGGAGTAAAGTAGATACTTTACTTATATCTATCAATTTTTTTAATCACTTTAACTATATATTAGACCTCTGAAACCAATTCAAACAGATGGAACAGATTAATTCAAGTAAAAGTAATAATTATAAAACTTGTAAGCATGTAAAAAGCAAGATGAAATGCATCTATTAGCAACAAAGGACGACTACCGAGCTTGAAAAATCGATTCAATTCAAACAGATCGTCTAAGGTCGGGATAAAAGTTATTCACACGAATAAAAAGACGCCATTGTTAATGCAGTCCCGCACAAAAGCTCTTAAGAGTGTATCAAAATGACATAAAGCTCGATTCTCTTCTTAACAAAATATGCTTATAATGGGGCCACATGTCTAAACGTTTTTTTTATGATTTTTGAAAATGGATGAAGTGTTAAAATGTTAACGAATCGTCGTTGTGTACCTTTGCCTCTTTTTTGGACATTCCTAATTTATTCGCATTCTATATTCAAATTTAAGGTAAAAAGAATATTTTGCTTTAACTTTTTTATATTTTGATATTATCTTGTCCAAACCAACTTTAGGTGATATAAGAGTAACTCTAACGTCTGTATAGTCTGTTCGATTATTACCCTGCTAAAAATTATTCTTTGTTAAATAAAATCTTTATAGAATATTAATACAATTTAGTTACCTTATTAATTGCTTACTATAGGTACATAGTTAAAACATGTATAACATACAACATAAAAAGTTATTCAAGATATATCTGATGGAAAATGATTCTGATGGATGAATTCCCATCAGATATATCTTGAATAACTTTTTAGAGAAGTTGTACTCATAACACCTAAAAATATTACTAATAATAGGTTTACCTATTACTATGCACCTAACACTGTTATAGCAGAGACTCTACATAAGAAGGTGCAGTGTATCAGCGATCCCTTATTATAGCTGGGATTTAATACATGCCGGTGGAGGAAAACAATTTCATACTACAAATAGATATAGTATATCAAGGAAGATGTAGGAAATAAAACAGAGAAGTTGTACTCATAACACCTAAAAATATTTACTAGTTCACTGCTAAATGTCTACATATGTCATTATGATGTGATGGAACTAACAATGATGAAAAAACCTAATATAGATAAACATATACATCCCTTACGTATTTGCCTAATTAACGCATGTACTTAACAGTTACATATATGGGAATACCTACCTTACAGCGAACATTACTAAATTAAGTATACAAAAAAAAACCACGAAACCGCAATACGAAGACAAACAGCCGCGAAACCGTGGTTAACATTCGAAACAGCGCAAACTCACGTACCACCATTGTCAAAACACCTTATACAATTCCACAACACTACAGAAAAAATGAGAAAAACTCCGCTCATAGCGTGTGTGGTCTGTACAAAAGGCTAAAATATAACTCACACTCGAAAAAGCAAATATTTTTCAAACACCTCCATGAGGCCGAACCTTAATTCTTTGTGACAATGCCTTACGCCTGTAATTTTGGTGTCGATGACAGTGTCCTTGCGAAAAAAAAGGAAAAGTACATATTATTGTTTAACCCAGCGGAATTTCCGATCCCTATTGCTATTTAATTTGTGAATAATTCACGACCGACACAGATTACGAATCGAATCCTAACGGACCGCATTAGGATACAATTATGTTGTCATACCATACGTTTGGTTATCTATTTAATTAAAAGTGTCCACTTTCAATTATTGAACATCTATTAATATCATTTTTTATGTCGATTGTAGATAATAATAGGTAATAAAGTTCTAAATTACATTTAGATATAACACGGCTACCTATATTTTTATATAAGTAGGTAGACCTGTCTACCTATTAATAAAAATATACTAGCTATATTACAAAGTAACCTAACAATTACAATTTTCAATAAGAATAAACTGAACTAACTAACAATATTTTTTCCCATCCCCTCTGTAACGACGGCTGGAGTAACCATTGATATAAAATAATACAAATAACATGAAAAATAAATACTTTGTAGGTACTAATATATAGCTAAAGATTAATATTTTATTATTATCTTTAGGTATATGCATTAGCTCCTTCAAACTACATTCTTATTACTCTAAATACTTAATTAAGAGGGAACGCTGCCAGTATCTTCGGAACTTTGCCTAAAGGGACAATAATATATTTTAGTTATTGTATTATATTTTTTAAGCTTTTTAATTTTTTAGGTTGTAGTTGTATAATTAAGTTATGCAAATGATATAATTAGTTTAGTATTGTTGTCTTTAAAATTAAATAAATTAGATATTGTGTGTAGATATGTAAGAATATGCATATTTACTTAACTTTTACACTGACTTTTACACTCACATAACGCACATACCTATCATTACCTCGACTGTCATA